CCGGCTTTGTAGGGATGCGAGGTCAATGGTCTAACGACTACGGCATGCACGACTATGAGTACACCCCCCCCTCCCATCCCTTTTCTTTCGAAGGTGGGGGAACAAGTTGGGGAGTATTCGGTATCTAGTCGGGTGTTGTAGAACGTTGTTTACCATTTGAGGATTTGGTCAGTTTCGGAACTCCTGCGCTTGCATTCGTAGTCCCCCGGCTTTTATGGGGAGAGAGATGGTTCTGTAAGAGTTGACGCCGTTCCACGCAGCCAACGCGGTGGAGAGACGATCGGCGTTCGGTGTGTCTCTCTCCCCAACACGTGGCCTAGAAACCGAATAAATGATTAGATTCTAAGCAATTTGAAAGAAAACATTAATACACTGTGTCGTTCTATTTACAGCACCAGTTTTGTCGGGATTTGTTTTTTTCGGGGGTCCTTTGTCAGCCCCAAAAACGTATTTGGTCTTCTCACACGGAGGAAAATGGTAGTAGTTCCCGGAGCCCAAATTCTCACTGGCCGATTTTTTCCTAATGTAGGATTCCATCTGGCGAGTAAAAAAAATTGTCCTTTTTCTGACTGGATCGGCTGATGCTTGCCAGCCTGGAAATGGGGGTGGGTCACACCCCGATCGTGGCAGAACTCGGCACTACACCGCCTGTTGCCCAAACAGCGGCCAGTATGGTGAGGTCATGCATAAACCCCGTGCAGGTACCAAATATTCAGTGCGTATTGCATCCTGTTGGCCGCACACGAACCCACAACGTCAACACTGCCACATTTCTCTGCTGGCTGACGTTCTTGCCTTTCGGCGGAAAACAGCCGTTTTTGTGCCCGCTACATGTTTGACCAGTCATAAACGCACGCCAGAGAGAGGTTTTGAGCCGACGACATCCACAAACTGCAGCCAAGCGCGTGGTCATGCACCCACTCTCTGGTCACGTCCCAGAGACAGGTCGTATTGTTCAGTTTTGAATGTCCACGGCCTACAAACGCGAACCAAGTACTTTTCGGTTTTGGCTTTTTGGACATATTTTCTTGTTCCGTTCAGTTGATTGCACACGGCCTGCAAACGTGAATCGAAGTGTGTCTCGGTGTTGAATGTTTTGGGCGTGGCCTTCTGTCTTCCGGCAATGCTATTTGCTTCACCGGTGGATGACTTTGTTGCTCCGGGTGTGATCAGTCCTCAATGCATGCCACAGAGGTCTTAGGCCGAAGACATCCACAAACTGCAGTCAGTGGCGTGCGATCATACACATGCCCTCTGCAGGCGGCCCAAAACCAGGGCGCTCAGTGTCTTGTTGGTCGCACACGAGCCGAAAACGTGAACTAAACTATGTTCTGAGCCACGAAAACTTGAATCGATCTTTCTTTTCCACCGGTATTGTGAAAGATGGAATAATGTTTCCCTTGCCGGTCAGCCCCCGTCAGAGAGAGAGAGAAAAAAGTGCAAGAAAAAGCGGCATTTTACACGACCTAAAAACTAATACATGCAGTCCCACCCATGATTCCCGTTGACGTTGAAACAACCAAAACAACTTGAGAAAACAATCAGGGCAGCACCGAGTTATCAAAATGTACCAAGGTCAGGGAGCACAGTTCAGCGCTTTGCTCCAGCTTGGAAGCTTAAGAAAACCAAAAATCACAACACTCTGCATACACTGCCAGTCCTGCCGGCCATTCTTGCACGTTATGGTGTACGTCGACCGCGTGGCCCCTGGTCGTCTACAACCACGTTTACCATATCGAGTTGCCACCTTTTGGCATTGCTCACAGAATGCACTAATACATGACGCAATATCATAACGTAACGGTTGGGGGTTCAGCAGCCGTTTGGAATCGGCCTGTTGAAGTAGGTAATGATTAAACGTGTTCCATCCCATTCAGCCAGTAGCCTCTCACGTGCCCATGAGAGACAGCTTCGCCGGGTCACCTCCCTGCTTAATCGTGGCGTCCACGTGATTCGGCAGACAATGTTGTCCGGTCGACTTCATCGTTGAAAATATTCCGGGCATGGTAGAATACCTCTCGCTCCTATCGGCCAATGCCTTCGTAACACACCTGTTGTACCGATGTGTACAGTAGTTCGAAACCTTTCGTGAGAAGTAACCATAACTTGGACTGGCCAGCATACGCTAAAATGATGTCGTAGGTTTGTGAGGTTAACACATCGGCGAGAAACTTGCTCTGAGATGACGCCCTGTCTGGGGACACCGCGAAGAATCTCCTTATGAATTTCAGCGCGGCACAACCAGACACATGGGCTAGCAGAGAGGATTCACGTGCTTGTCATGCCATGCGAGGCGCCCAAACAATGTTTCGTCTGGTTGGCTGGTTTATATGCGGGCAGCGTCATAGTGAAGGGTACAAGAGGAGGTAGAACGCAAGCGGAACATTAGGAGCACAGCCGGGGTGGAGGTTCAACAGGGAATGATGGCGAGGGTACGAAGCATTCAAAAAGAAATACTCAAAGAGAATTCGCTTGCCTGAAAGTCATGGAGGCTATCCCCTAGTGTGCTGCTCTACCACAACGCGCAGCATGAAAATAACAAATTTCAACGATGCCATGTCGGCCTCACCTTGATGTACAATTGAATACCTGAACGGCCTCATAGTTACTCCTCAACAAACCTCGCCTGACAACGTCCACCTGAGCTGGCACCACCATCTATTTCTCGAGATTCGGGCTTGTGAGAACCGCTCAGCACCACCGAACCCCTCATTCCCTCCTCCTCCATTCATTCCTGTATATCCGGTGTGACCCTCCCGCATGAACGTGTTCGAGGACAAATAAACAAGCGGTTAGCGCGACTGGCATGCCCTTCTGCATAATGAGCACCCACCAAACCGTTCCGGTTCCTGATCGAAGAATCTGCCCCTTTGTCCATCAGGTATCGCCCCAGTGTGCCCCCGTAACCTGTACCATCACGCAGTACAAAATGAACACAAGAGAGTACCGGCTGGCGAGTGTTTGAAGCGAACAGATGCTTCACCCGAACAGTTCTTACCACAATGGAACGACGTGCATACGGTAGTGTGGCCGACCATAGTTTGCAGCTTTGCTTCTTAATGTTCGTCGGACTCTAGACCTAGACACGCACCGCCGATCGCTACGGCAAGCGAGTACTATGTTTTCCCTGCTAATCAACAACACGTCGCCCACCAAACGCGTAGCAATAGTGGAGGGCCGTGTTTCCCCGTGCATTGCTAGCATCTGGATCAGCCCCATAACGCAAGGCTGCCTTGAGCGCCCGCTTGTGGCCGTTTTGACATGCCACAATCAGAATGGTGTTGCCGTGGCTGTCCCTCACATCAGCCGGGACACCCCTGTTTCGTACGGACGAGATATGTGTATTTGAAAACGCATTTGATTGAGGATTTTGCACATCCAACGACCGATCTTGTTGCCGCGAACTGGATTGCAGCGGTGCCGCTTTTTTCTCGCTGTCACTAGTAGCTTCCTCAGGGAACAGGAAAGTGTCACTTGACGCTCTTGGTTCACGATCGTGTAGAAATGGGAAATATACTTGTTGCTGAGAGACGGTCTGGGCCGAGGTAGGGATCGACTTCAGCAAGGGGCACACAGAGAAAACAATTCTGAAGGGTATGGAGGTGTACCTCCTGGTCATCCCACAATCTATCCTCACAAGTTACACCCTTATTCATGCCAAAGCAACACTCCTTACTAGGTATCCATCACCTCCTTCGTATGTTCGAGGCGAGGAATCAAATTCAGCGAACAGTGCAACGAAGAAGACCAAGACGGAAATGACCAAAATAATCTACCGACACTTGGACGAAACAATTATTAACGGTGTTTCGTCTACATATATATGCAGACCGACTAGACAAAGCACAATACGCAAAGAGATGAGCCCGCCGCTCTCGAGATAAACAAAGTATTTACTGCTCTATGATGGAGGTTCAAATCCCGGCGAGGTTCATTGTTCCGCATTCGTCCAGGGTGCTACCGTAGGTATGTAGGTCCGTATGCATACATGAGGACGGCACCGCTGACCCCTCTCGTGTTAATGAGGAAGTCATGCACCCGAAGAATAATCCTGTGAGAGCCCGAATCGGAGCTCATCTATGAGAGGGCTACGATCGTAGCGCAGTTACTGTAGATCTTTTGCTGCGGTAGGCACAGAGTCTGCTACCATCAACAAATGTACTGGCAATATAGAGGTACACAGATGCATGTCGCTCACGCGGGGAGTGTTTCGCGGTGAACCCCTCCGGAAAACGGGTAAATTGTCCTTTTTCTGTTCCACCGAACAAATCTCAGTACGGCGTGATAAACTCTTTACAATTCAATCAATGACGGACGAAAACCACGAACACCACCGACTTACTGATCCATCATCCTCTCGAGGTCCAGGACACGGTTGTGCCTAGCGTAGCTGAAAACGTCTTCCACGAGGCTTTGTCGGAAGCCTCCCGGCGGACCAGTATCACCGCCACCTACGCTTGTTCTACTCGCTGCTCCCACCTGCCGCGTTTCCGCCACCAACCAATCCACCCAAAACGACCGCAGGGTTCCGATGATTCTGGCATGCACCATACATTCAAACGACCGACGCAGTATACAGGAGAGGAGTACATCCGACGGATGAACACGCACTCGTAGAACCGCCACCATTGTTTGATTCGTAGCCAAACAACAAACTTTTTGTATCTCGAGGCGCTGTGCAAGCGCCCAGAAAAAAACTTGGGGTGTGTTCGGGTGCCGTGGATGTAATGAAGAACTCGGGCACAAGGCCCCGCATCTTGCTCAACACAACACCCGGGAAAAACTCTTGAAGTTTTACCTGGCCCCGCCCCGGCAGTTGCTGCTCGCCGCGAGTCCACGATGGCTTGTCGAAGCGCTTCGACCTCCAAACCGAAGATTTGGCCGTGCTGCTGTTGCGGCTAATGCGTCCTTCACGCCCAAACGGCCCGTTGCATTTGTCTTGTTTCGTACCCGTTGGAGGCCCTTCATACCAAGGTTGGCCGCCGCGGCCGTGACCACGGCTCCCACCGTCATACCTCTGCAAGCTACGAGTTGTTTCACGATTGCACTCATTCGTCCCTCGGCCGGATTTTTCACCAAATATTAGGGTGGTGCGCCCGTCGAACTCGTACGCAGGGAGGCCGTAGGCTGGTGCACTGCTCGGACGCACCAGATCGCCGTCCTGTAGTAGGCGAAGGCGAGGCGATGAACAGCTGCTTCATAACCGGCCCTCAGAAATGGGTTGTAGGGCCCACGTCGAGCTTGAGCCTTCAGGATTGATATTTGTAGTCGTGAAATGTGCGTTCATTTGGATGTTCTGTACAAAATGTATGAGCATCGATGACACGTGCCTCAATCTACTGCTGTAGTCTACAAAATCTAGATACACAACGCAGATTATTTTTTCCTTCGCACAACGTCGCCTTGTCGGAAAACCGAACATTCCGGACACTCTGTCGAACCACAGCACCATCACATGTATCAGGAACGTAATGAACATGGAATTTACAGTACCTCGAAGAGAGTGCCCATACTCCGGCATGTGTTGGGCTCTACGGCCGACAGGTAGTCGTCCGTTCTCGAGGTGTGCATATCCCTGGCCGTTATCATCGTGTCTGACTCCGCTCCCCTCGCTGTGTGCATGCAGTCGGATTCGAATCCTGAAGAGGCCGGCGGCATTCTTGTATCTCGCGAGTGGACCTGGCTGTGGGAAGTCAGGGCCCTTCTGCTTCCAGCTTTCGCCCCTGCTTCGTTCGCCGCCGCCGATACCTTTTCGAGGCTAGCATGTGTACGCATCATTCCCCTGATGTAGCACTCGTCGGCGCTGTGTTCACCCGTTTCGGACTCACGTCCACGCGGCTGATGACGTAAAGTGGACGAGGACTTGCGCTCCTCTCGCTGAACTCTCATCATGTGGTTTCTCCTTTGCGCCGCTGATGCGTTTGTAGCTCTGACCACCAAATCAGCACGGGGAGTATTGATATTTTCTCTGGGGGTTTTATGCGTAGCCTACACCACGGAGGACGGCCGGTGCGCGAGGATCATTGTTTATGTGGGACAATAGGGGAAACCCGCACGCGAGCCTCTTCATTGGTCAGCCAGCGGCTTACGGCGGTTGACACAAGGAAAAAAAAAAGGTGTCACTCAGCTGCCCGTCTCACCGTGAGTGCGGCTTCGGCGATTTCACGCGCTTCGAGGACGGAACGAAGCGGATGGAAATATATATAGTAGATGGAACCGCTGGAAACTGAACCGTGACCATTTCCGCCGCGGACTGTCGAAATGTTTTTTTTTTCTTCTTTAGCTATATCACACAACAAATCCATCACTCTATCTATGGAAGTCTTTTTGAATGCCTACGCATCTCTTGTCGTAGTCAATGTTCAGTCTACTGCTTATGTAAACGAATGACGTGTGTGTTGTCAATGTATCGATTGGAACGTTACGTATGCGGAGGAACTAAGAGCTGTACGTAGCTCGTTCTGTCGTTCGGTTGTTGTTGTTGTTGACTTCACATTAAACCGTATGCCAGTTGCTAAATGCCAAAATCTAGCAAAGACTCTCGGCCCGTGGTCACGAAAGTGCTGGAGCCATCTGAGGATCTAAAGAACACGCACACGTAGCAAGAAAAAGGTGTACAAGAGCCCGAAGAGGTACTACTACACCTATATATAATCCCTGCAGCACCGTACGCGTGCCCAAAACTGAACTACACGTCCGT